AAGAACCAGGAAATACATTTTTACCAAAGCTTCTTTCTCAGAACATTTTCTGGTCAGGTTGAAAAATAGAGATGTCTTATTTTTTGTAGAGAAAACTAGCATTTTGCATATTCATTGGTTCCTTTAACTGCAAAAATACCCACAGCTCTTAGCAAACTTAGGATACAACTGATTTATAAATTTGAGTTCTGCTTAGTCCTGAAAAAGTGTGTTCTCATATCACTGTGGGTTTAAGTCTTCCAGAGTAACCTCCAAATAACAAATCATATGAGAAGAAATCCTGAAAAGTTGGGCCCAGTTTCGTGCAGCTTTGGAAAGCTGCAGAGAAGCAAGAAATGATCTCCAGGCTCTGAAAGGTACTGATTGTTCTCTTCTGTTCTTCATAGCAATACTTAATTAGCTGCCAGTTCCTGATAGCCAGGGCTCTTCACTTCCTGGGTACCCACTGAACAAATCCTGGATTGAATTATTGATAATCTGGAAAGCCACTGGCAATTCCTATCAGACATGTTAGTGCTACCGGAAACAAAGAACATGATTCCCAGCTCAGCAACCCCTTTCCAACTTCTGTCTCTCAGACAAGTAAGATGAAATCTTCTCAGACTGTTGACAAATCTTGTTTGTCCTAGAACAATGTGGAACATAGTTCACCATCTTGTGCACCATGCACTCCAGTATCACAAGAAAGCTCATCTTCCCACCAGTAATATGGCCACTTCCTGGCTAGGGACACACATTCAAAAAGACTGAGCCTGAATTGATTCAATCTCTGCAGGCTAGAGTAACCTGCAAAGCTTGAACTGGTTTGGAGGTAGATAGACATTCCCTTTTCATTCCAGAAATGCAGGCATATGCCTTCAACAGCTCAGGCTAGAAGCTGGGGGGCACTAAACAAATCTTCCCTCCCCTTCTATAGTGCTGAGTTGAGGGGGGTGTGACCAGGCCCCGGTACGACACTCTGATGAGGGAGGGGTTTAAACCCCAACCCTGGCCTACACTGTCTCAGCCGCTCCCCGCTCCTGCAACTCACTGCTCAGGGGGCATGGGTGTTGCCAGACCCCAGCTCCGGGCTAGCCCCCTGAGGCAAAGGGGGGGGGGGGGCGGTGCTCTGAGACAAAGCAGGGGTGTGCAGTGCATGCATCTAGTTATGATACTGAGCTTTTCAATCTCCCTCTCCCTGTCTGCAAACCTTACAGGGCTGCAAACCGCTGTTTATCAGCTCATCAGGAAAACAAGTGCCTCTCTCATTAGTTCAAGCTCTTCTTAAACAGCCTTTTCCGACAAGGGTCATTACTAGCTGACCCTCTGATTAGCTCCAAAAAGCCCTTAGTGGATACTGTTCTATCTGCTTTTGTCCTGTCTGCTTGTCCCTGTGAAACTGGAGACACACACGCACAGAGTAACCTCTTAGCATTAGCTAGCATACCACATGCCTAGAGTCCGTGGGGCTGGAGTCCATGCTGTGGACTCCAGATGGAAGGAAGGAAGGGAGGAATCCCTGCTTGAACAGTGAGCAGTGAGGGAAGCTAGGCAGACCCTGCGGTGCCTGCAGTCTCCCCCAGGGCTCTGGCTAGGCAGGAGAGGGTGGGGCCAGCCTGTTCTCTGGAGCAGAGAGAACAGGCTAGCTCCACCTAGCTCAGCCCAGGCCAGCCCAGCCCAGGCCAGCAAAGCATCAGGGATGCTGAGGGACTCTGGTTTAATTTAAACCAGGAAGGGGTCTGGGACAGACATTGCATAAACCAGTTTGACCCAAATCACTTAAGTCTGATACTACATTCAATCAGGTTTAGCTTAAACCAGTTTCAGCCATTTTGAAACTGGTTTTTGTGCACTGAACTTCTGTTCTGTTACAGGTCTAAACCAATTTCTGGTCATTTAAACCGGTGTATGTGTAATGTCTGTCCGTAGCCCCTGAGTCTCTCATTTTCTTTTCAAGGAGAAAAATCCAGTACTTTCTCGGATTGCTTGAAAACACACGGAATAAAATTTTACCTCTTCACTAACGAAAAGAAAACCCAGCAGGAGTGTAAAGCATACTGCTCTTTACATGGTTCCACACTGTTGAAAATAGAGAATGAGGATGAGCTGGTAGGACATTTTCTACTCCTCTATTTCAGTAGATAGAAAATGTACACATGTTCATGTATTTGTGTGAGGAGGATGTAAGATACAATCTAAAATGAATGTTCATGTTGAATGGTAAGTCTACCTTCAGAATAGCCCTGTGCTGTGTTCTGAAATAATACCAAGTTCCACAAATGGATAGGGGTTGCTTTAAGTGGGACTAAGGGCAGATTGAGTTGCTTGAGTCCAATAACCTGGATCTTGAAAATCCAGTCACCTTTTGCTATGGAGCTTCCTCGTGTCTATATTCACCAAAGAATTCAAGATAAAAGTTCTGTAGACCCAAAGGGTGTGGATTCTGATCCTCTCCTGGTCATGTATGTGTCCAAATGTATTTCTTTATATCACTGTTTTGGTCATCTAGGTGCCAGAAAAGCAATTCACACACAGGTTAGAATTCTGTTTTTGATCACGTACCTCTGCAGACACTGAAAGTGAAATATACTGTTTAGACTTTTGGGTTCCTGTCTCTCTGGGTTGTGGAGAAAAATACCCTTGTTCTTTTATTGTAGGAACCAAGGTGATTATGAAATTCTGTGACCTCTTCCCACTGGTGTTCCATTGATTCCTTTTAACTATATAGGTGGTTGTTTTGATGTTGCATTTGAGGGAGACAGTCATATCACATCAAGCAACCCTCTCTGTAAAACCTGTACATGACCTGTTAAAGGAAATAATGGTGCATTTAGCTACTTTAGGCATCACTCCCAGAACTATAACATCTGTCTAAAGCCTAGATGCAGTGCTCTTGTTGTTTTGGCATCCAGAATCAGGAGTCTTCTCCCATGAGTGGGTACCTACACTTGTTTTTTTTTCAAGTTCAGAGCAGAATGTACAGTTTTCCTCTAAAAATGCAGCCTCACCAGGAACACCAGTTTGGGAACAGCATATCAAGCTCCTTCTTGTCCCTAAGTTTCCTGCATTTACTAATAACGAGTGAATGCAGTTATTGGATTTTATTCCCAAACAGGATTTTCTAAAACCACTGGCAAATTTTCACTGGATCAGACTCACCCGCAAAGGAACTGCTACAAACTGGACATGGGAGGATGGCACAAGTTATTCTCCTAATCTGTAAGTCTCTGTCACATGATTTGATTTTACATCTTTGTGTTTGTTTCTTTACTTCTCACAGGATTTGAATTGTGGCCCTGCTACAGGCCAAAAAGATCAGTCAGCATCCCCTAAAAGATACCCATCTTTTCCTACCAGGGCTGAGAAATCTCAGTATAGAATTATGAATATTTTTTATTGTTACAATGTGTCATCTGGAGGGCAGCATACTTTGAAGGTTTTCAGATAAATCTGAATGAATACATATGCTATTATAATATAAATAAATTAAGATCACTTACCCGGTTGTACTTGTCATACTGAATGAAATAGTTTGAATGTTTGTAAAGATTGCCCATTAGCCAGTTTCAGGAAGAAGATAGAATCTATCTCCTTATCTAGCTCATTGTTTCGGAGCTACGTGCGAAATGTCCTGACTTCGCCTAAAACCTTAATCTAAATTGTACCTTTAGAAATTTTTTACAAAGAAAGTAAATGTCCTAAATTCCGAGACATCAAAGCCTAAGGCCTTTTAACCAGACTGGTAAAAAGAAAAGAGTATTTACAGTGATATGGAAGTCTCCCCAAGAATAATTTAAAAATGCTCAACAAAGGTAATTTCTGTTGAGTAAGATCCGAGCCCAAATTTGGGAGTTATGATGAATTGAGTAGGAGGAGCCCAATGACGGCAGCTCACTCAATAAAAACCTGTAACTTACTGTCCCAATTTGGAGGTGACTTCACTTGCAGAACAACGAAGGAAGAATCGCAAGTATAAGGTCTGATTAGATTGATCGCCTAATCAAGCCTCTCCGTGAACACGAATCTCTTAGTTCACGCTGAAGCCGCGGAGCGCCCGAAAGGGACTGAAGGAAGGGGACGTAGTCCTATCACTGGTGAGCCCAGCTCATTGAATCGTATTGCTGAGGCCAGCCTATTGAACCGTACTACTGAGGCCAACCCATTAAATCGTACTACTGAGGAATGAAACCATATTTTGGTATTTGGCTTCTCGGAATTCTAGGATTGTAAGTATATTATGAAAAATAACAGTATTGATTCAAATTTAACTTTTAGTTGTAATTGTAGTTGTTTTTGTAACACTAATTCTTATAGCATTGTTTGGGAAGGAAGTGCATTCGGAGCATTGTTTCTGATATATGTAATTATTGTGTTTTTAATGTTTGTGGTGTTTCTTAAAGCTAAGCAGTGTTATATACGTAGCAAAGAGTTTTAAAATAAAATTGTGTTGTATAAATTAAGTGTGTAATCATTGTGAAATCGTGCAATCAGCTAACTACTCCCCCAGCCAGCGCATCAAAACGAATCAGTAAATTGTGTGGGATTTTCTCTATTCCATAACCCACTAGAGACAAAGCCTTGGCCTCTTCCCTTCCATCTACCCCAAAGTGCACATGCCAAGCAAAATGCCTTTGCAATGTCACACTCCGGCACTCATGCGGGGGTTGCCTACCCCTGATGTATGTGCTTATGTCCTCACATCTTCCTTATCAACTGATATCTCATGGCACCGTTCAAAGGATCAGATGGTACTCCAGAGCTCCCCGATACCCTGGTTGAGAATCACTGGTCTAATCTATTAGTAGAACTACACAGTCAACCCTGACACAATCACAAGGCATAACACCCTAACCCCCCATGGGTAAGACAGAGGGACCACCATAGCTGTCACTGATTTCCTTTCCCCCAGCACACACAGGCTGAGCATTTGGAGAACAGCTAAGGCCTCTATATTAGAGGACTTGGCCTGCAGTGACAGCACTTATGCGACAGAGATGGAAAAGAACAGGTTAACAGTTGCCTTACTCGGCCAAGTAGATATCTTTTTTCTCTTCAAAGTGTTTGCAGACATCTTGATCCTCTATAAACTGTCTGACTTGAGGTGACAAGCCTGTGGGTTTGTCATCATTTTCTGACATAAATATACATTTGCTTCTTTCAAGCACAGGCTTTTCACAGCAGTTTTGAATTTTACTTGAGATGGCGTCTTGGTGGGAACATGCGTATGATGTAAACTCTGCCTGTAAAAAGTGAAAAAAAATGGTTATTTTTAAATGAATTTCCTTCTTTCTTGATCCCTAATACAGGAATCAGCTCATTGTTCTAGTTTTTGATGCAGTAGAAACTAGCTACCTCTTACTAAAATCAGGGCTCTGTCAACATACAGTTAATAGCTCTTACCTACTATTTCATTTGTATATATTAAGCTTTGTTTATGGGGGGCATTATTTTAAGGTCAAGAGTACTATCCATGTTTTAGAGAAAACTGACATGTGGAAGTGATATACTTGCTTGAAGCCACAAAGTAGGCTCATGGCAGAATTGGAGACAAGACCCAAGTCTCGAACTTAGTGCTCTACCCACTGCATCCCACTGATCTAGATGCTCTATCCAGGACTCTCAAGCATATATTGACAACATTTTACAGAAGCAGGACATCAGCTGCCCTGGTTCCCTGGCTTTACCTGTGTCAGGTTAGCTTGTTAGGTCTATGTTGTGTCAGGTTTGAGGGCAGTCTTATGTAGAATTAAGATTATGGTTATTGGGCGTGTTTTGGAGGGGGATGGTTCTGCCTCAGGACTAGATGACCTCTGGAAGTCCCTTCCAGCCCTACTTCTCTATGACTCTATGACAGCGGCGGGCAATTATTTCAGGAGAAGAGCTGCTTACTGAGTTTTGCCAAGCCATCAAGGGCCACATGACAGGCAGCCAGGAGCAAATAAATATTAATTTTCTAAATTTTTTTAGGGGCCCTGTGGGCCAGATAGAATGGCCTGGAGGGCCAGATCTGGCCCACGGGCCGCATTTTGCCTGCCCCTGTTCTATGACAAAGGGTGTGTATCATGGCACCCAGTCTATGATCACACAGCTTTCTTTAAGCTGCATGATTGTAGACCAGGAGCAGCATGTGCAGATGCTCACCATAGCTATGCTGGGCCCCTGGTATAAGTAACTCAGTGCAGGTGGGATTGGAGTGGGATTGGAGTGGTGGGGGGTGAATGAACAGGTCCCTGGGAGAGGGTTAGCAGGTCTGGGGGGGATTGGCAGGATCTGGAGGGGGTGGTTTACTCAGGTAAACTAAATTAGATGGGGCCTGCCATTTGTGGCCCATTTTAAACCCCCGGAACATCTGCACAGGTTAGCATTTAAATGGACCTAACCTTAGTTAGGTTGATCTAAGAATAACATCTGCACGTACCTGAAGTAGGAGACAGTTCCTGGCCAGAAGAGTAGACAGACGGCCAAACAGTGGGGAAAATGGATGCAAAGAGCTAGCAGAAGATAGGGAACAACCACAGAGACAGACTAAAGGATTTGCCTAAGATTACATGGGACATCTGTGACATGCCCAGGAACTAAACTCAGTTCTCCCAATTCCAGAATCAATTGGATCATCCTCAGCCACAGGATTATGTTTGTCCTATGCTTCCTGTTTATTTCAAACAGGGTCAGGGTCAAATGAGAATAACCCACCAACTCCTAGATTGCATGTATCTTGATTGATTGATTGATTAATTAAATTCACAATTGGGAGAGCAAAAGGCAACAAAAATCAGAAGGGAGAAAAATGCCAGGCAGGAAATCTGCTTTTTCAATCATAACATCTTCAGCTGAGTTTTATTTTTTTACCCTGTTATGCATACAATCCAGCATGTCTCCTTGACAACATTCCTTTTGCATCTCCACAATGTCTGTTGTCATTTTCATCATGGTGTCAAAATCAGCCTTAGGAAATTTCTGGCTGAAAAGAGCAAGCGTCCTAAAAAGAACAAACAGCAGGATTTTTTTAAACTCAGAACGCAAAGCTATAATCTGCAGCAGTTCATTATCTGTGGGATTTTCCGAGGTGTTCAGCAGTACCAGTGGCCTCTTTCTACTCTGAAATTATTGATAACATTTCCATGGAAGTGAATGGTTGGACTTTCAGAGTACAGTGCCCAACTCTAGCTGAAATTAAAAGGGCTGGATCCTACTCCACCCATTAGGTGTGTAAGTAGATTTAGATGCCAAATTACAATGCTATTCCACCCTGTTTATGTCCCTGAAATACTATTAATATAAAAGGTGGCTGGGACTTCCTTCTCCTCTCTGCTTTTTGTGACTTAGTTTAAGCCTAAAATGGCTATGTTACAATAGTAGATACATAATTGGGTTTTCAGGGACTGGCATCGGATAGAAAAGAATCACATTTAGGCACCTGAGTCCATAGGCATCTAGAAGGTGAAGCAGAATCCAACCCAATGTGAGTTGGCTGCCCAGTTTTTTAGGTCCCTTTGAAAATCTACGGACATTAATTCATTAATAATGTTAAGTATGACCATGCAACTAAAATAACACAGGGTTGAATCAAGCAAAAAAAAGGGTACAGAACTACCTCAGAAATTATACATATGACACAATAGTGAAGTCCTATTTCATTGACTCTCACAGCAACTGTCACCAAAAGGTATTGACTTGGTATAAATTAATCAGGAATTTGGCCATTATGTCAAAACTGGTTTTTCTCCCAGAAAGTTAATGACTAGATGTTAAGAAAATTAAGCCTACAGTTTCAAATACATTCATGTGCCTAATTTTCTTCATGGTTACGATTGGATGTACAGTCATGGTAGAGTTGTGTGCAGGGGTGCATGTGTTTTTGCGCAAGCAATTTTGTCCTTAGGTACGCACACAATTTGCTGAAAATCAACTTCTATCCTCTATTATACAATAGACATGCAAATTAGTATACACTTACTGTTCACAAGTATTCAAAGCAATAGTACTAATGATTCCCTGCTCTTTTGTAGGGCTGCAGTTGGTATGGTTGTTCTGCTTTTGAAGCAACAGAAATGTCATACACTTAATAATCAAAGAGAGGTAGTTAGCCATGTTAGTCTGAAGTAAGTTGTTGCTTATGAAAATATATGTCTCTGAATTAGTTAGTCCATAAGGTGCCACTCTACTCATTTAATAATCAGGTCAGAGACTCACAGAGCCTTCAATGTTCTTTCTCCAAATTTCTTCAGGATCTCACATGTGTGTTCCTGCATGGAACCATCTTCTTTTACTGGCTTTATCACAACTGGTTGCTATTACAAGGGAGAAGAAAATGATTAAAAAGAGATCAAATTAGTGAAGAAAGTAGAATTCCGAATGAGAAGATTTTAGCAGACACCTAAAAGGCTAATTAGTTGTGAAGTAGCTAACAAAATCAGAAGTAATATCAGTTGCACATATTAATCACTCCTATTGTTTTGTAAGATTCTGCCCACTTTAAAGACTCTTATTAAATTGCTCTGTGCTTTTAAACTAGGGATGGACTGTTTTGATTAACTGATATACCTAATTTTTACAGGGCTGAGTGCCTGCTGCCAAGAAACAGCTTCCCACTAACATCTTTGGCACACCAAGATTCTCAAAGGTTCTCAGCACCTAGCAGCATCATGCCCTAATCCAGTCAAAATGCAGGTATTCACTGATGAGTAAAACAGCAACACCCATTTTAGTGCACCAATAGTCACCTACTAAAAATATAGAGTAAGGAGAGTTACATAAATACACAGACCAACAGAGATGGACAGATTAGATACCTACTTGATTTAGAAAAACATGGGGGGAAAGAGTTAAAAAGATAGAATATTGATTGAGATTTTTAAAGCAATCTTGAGAGATTTAGACACAAATGTCCCAGTTCTGTTAGTGGAAGTCATGTTTCTAACCCCCTTAGATATGGAGTGTTCAACCTCCAGTACATGGGCCAAATGCAGACCACAGAGCCACTGCAGCTAGCCTCCAGGGTTCCCCACGGGTCCAGAAATTTGGCCGTTGGGGAGCATGGCCACCTCCCCCACTACCAAATCCTCAAGCCCAATTCCCTGTGCAGCCAGCCAGAGCCATGCTATGCATGCTATGTCCCCATCCACAGGGCTGGGCTATGCACCCCCCTACCCCCTCCACTGCTTCTGTATCAGGGCCAAGCCATGCCCCCTTCCCCCTCTGCTGGGCCGGGCTGGGGCCTAGCTACTCCCCCTTCCTTCTCCATAGGGCTAGGTCAAGCTCCTTTCCCTTACAGAGCTGTGTGGGGGCTGGTCTGCATAGCCTGCTTGCACACAACCAGTTGGTGCCTGCCATGTCAGCCCGGGCACAGGATTGGGAGCACTGACTGGATCCAGCCCACAGATGGGCGGGACACTGCCACTCTGGCTCACCGGGTAACGAGGTCAGGCACCACTGCCCTATATTGCTTTGAAAATCTCAAGCATCTAGTGTGTAATAACTAGGGATCCTGGTTTTACTAGGGATCAAAAAATCCATGTTTTTCTGCAAAGAAAATGAAACACCACTATATATGTAGGTATCCGTTGAACACAATGTTTTATTGATATATTTACCATTTTAAAACAATTTGGAAGCCTACCAGTGCCTCAATCATTATAATAAAATAAATTCTAAATACCTTTATATTTTGGAGTTCAACATGGAAAATCAGAGCTCTCCCTCCCCACTTCATTCACCAGGATACAGGTCCAGCTACAGCTGCCCCCACAACTGTTTTGTGGTACTGAGCTGCCCTGATATGCTGCTGCCCTGCCCTACTCTGCCCTCCCATGCTGGGAGGACAGAGGTGGACTGTGGATGTGGGCCGCTGAGGTGATTCCTGCCAGGTGCCAGTCTAGCCAGGCTGCAGACCCTTGCCCTGCACCTTGCTGTCATTGCAAAAATTTGGGGGTGGGGGTGCACATGACCCCCATGTCCCCCCAGGTATGTCACCAGTGCATGTGCCTGTACTGTGCCCACACAGTCCCCAAGCCCTGGCCCTCCAACCCCTTGTCCCCCCCTTCCCATTGACTTACCTGTATCCAGCTGCCAGAGCTGCTCCCACCACCCTGCCTGGTAGTATTGCAGCCAAGTGTGCATGCGTGCACACATGCAAGCATTGCCCCCTGCCTCCAATTGCTCCTCCCAGCCCCAAGCTTCAAAAGGGAATATCCATGTTTTTCCACAGGAAATGGAAAGCCTGGATCCCTGGTAATGACATCCTTCTTTTCATAATAAACTTATTTTTTTTTCCTGATAGGTTTGTCCTCAGCCTGTGCTCAGCACTGAAGCATTTTGATTTAAGAATCTAAGGCCCCATTGAAAGAAAACAGTTAAATGTGTGTTTCAGTCCTGATCCAAATGGAGGTCAAGGGCAATGTTCCCTCTAAAAAGTAGCAGTCCTTGAGCATGCCACTTCAGTCCATGAGTGTGCCGCTGCAGTTTGCGACCGTGCCGTTTTGGTGCAACGTGGGACACTTACTGAAGGTAAGTGCCTCACTCCTCACCTGGAGCAGGCAGTGGGGGCTGGGGGGCTTTGGGGCTGGGGCCCCGGGGGCTTGGGGCTGGGGCCTGGCATGGGCTCTGCCAGCTCCTTGACACCGCTGCACTCCCCCACTTTGCCTTGGGGAGCGAGGAGGCATGTGGCATCAGGGCTGTGGCAGAACGCCACCTTTGTTTCTTCCCCCAAAAAACCTCTGTTCTGTGACAATTTGATTAGGATGGGCCCAACAGAGGATACACACCTTTACCCTATCTTTTTAGGTAACCTGAGCTGAGTAAATTCCTGAGGGAGGGAGCAAACCTGCTCCCTCTGCCTACGTTACTAGTATCACATACCTGGGTGAGGGGCTTCCTTCCTGGTGGGCTAGAGTCTGCCTGGCAACTAGTGATGTATTTCAAATTGGTTGGCTAACAGCCAACAGGTGCTGGCTTCCATTGGACCAGGTAAATGAGGTCACAAGGACTATATAAGTTAAGGACTGCCCAGGGGGTGGGGGCAGCAGCCATGAGGGATGTCATATTGAATGAAATAGTTTGAATGTTTGTAAAGGTTGCCCATTAGCCAGTTTCAGGAAGAAGATAGGATCTATCTCGTTATCTAGCTCATTGTTTCGGAGCTACGTGCAAAATGTCCTGATTTCGCCTAAAACCTTAATCTAAATTGTACCTTTAGAAGTTTTTTACAAAGAAAGTAAATGTCCTAAATTCCGAGAAATCAAAGCCTGGGGCCTTTTAACCAGACTGGTAAAAAGAAAAGAGTATTTACAGTGATATGGAAGTCTCCCCAAGAATAATTTAAAAATGCTCAACAAAGGTAATTTCTGTTGAGTAAGATCCGAGCCCAAATTTGGGAGTTATGATGAATTGAGTAGGAGGAGCCCAATGACGGCAGCTCACTCAATAAAAACCTGTAACTTACTGTCCCAATTTGGAGGTGACTTCACTTGCAGAACAACGAAGGAAGAATCGCAAGTATAAGTTCAGATTAGATTGATCGCCTAATCAAGCCTCTCCGTGAACACGAATCTCTTAGTTCACGCTGAAGCCGCGGAGCGCCCGAAAGGGACTGAAGGAAGGGGACGTAGTCCTATCACTGGTGAGCCCAGCTCATTGAATCGTATTGCTGAGGCCAGCCTATTGAACCGTACTACTGAGGCCAACCCATTAAATCGTACTACTGAGGAATGAAACCATATTTTGGTATTTGGCTTCTCGGAATTCTAGGATTGTAAGTATATTATGAAAAATAACAGTATTGATTCAAATTTAACTTTTAGTTGTAATTGTAGTTGTTTTTGTAACACTAATTCTTATAGCATTGTTTGGGAAGGAAGTGCATTTGGAGCATTGTTTCTGATATATGTAATTATTGTGTTTTTAATGTTTGTGGTGTTTCTTAAAGCTAAGCAGTGTTATATACGTAGCAAAGAGTTTTAAAATAAAATTGTGTTGTATAAATTAAGTGTGTAATCATTGTGAAATCGTGCAATCAGCTAACTACTCCCCCAGCCAGTGCATCAAAATGAATCAGTAAATTGTGTGGGATTTTCTCTATTCCATAACCCACTAGAGACAGTACTATTCTCTCATGGTACCAGAGGTTATCATTAAGAAATAGATAATTTCTGAAAGTTAGTTGTGCTGTATTCCAGAGTTGAAAATATCATTAGACATACCATTACATAATTTTGAGTAAGAAAAGAAACATAGAAGGCACGCAAATTAATTGGGAAGTAAATGGTTGAGTGCATGAAACAAGAAGGTATCTCAGCTTAGCTAACAGCTTCACAATAAAGAATTTCCACATCACAAAGATTCATGTCTGCTATTTCAGCTTGCAAGAAGTTAACAGGAAAGTGCTTCTGAGATACTTTATCAGCAAGTCAAGAATGCTGTTCCTAATATTGAGGAATTTACATATAGTGACTGCGCCAGTCTGGTCTAGCTGATTTGAAAAGTTTCTCTCTATCTCAGGGTTCCAGTACAAGTGGTGCATCCTAAAGGATATTGTGCAGTTTTCACTAGAGGAGGAATCTCTGCCTATACCTGCACTAGCGAGTGCCGCTGTTTGTGTGAGAAGAGGGTTGCTTAGCTGAGCTTGTTGCAGCAACACAGAAGATAGCACATCCAGGAGAAACACACCCTAGGAGGTTCCAAAGGCAAAGAAAAATCACTGTCCTTGAAGCTGGTTAAGCAGAGGAGTACCAGTTGGCAAAGTACAGCCATTTGGGATGTTTCCTACAGACTACCACTGTTCAGGGCCACTGCCATGATGATGTGATCTGCATTTATTTTACATTGTAAACCTGTTAAAAGTCAATAAATGCTTTGCTGTTTCTGTAGATAAAGCATTTATCATGTGTGGGTGGTGTTTACCAGAAAAGAGTGTTTGCCCCAAGCAGCTCACAGGCTGAATTCAAAGCAAACATGCAACAGCAAAGGTGGCAAAGAAAGAGGATTGGGGGAGGGAGAAGAGTTACCATTGCTGAAACTTGCACAGCTGCTGCCAGCGAGGTACTCGCTATTCTGAATACAAGGGGGGGAGAGAGCTGGTCTCTCCAGAGCTGAAAGCAAGAGAGAAAAAGAATACGGGCTGAAATCCAGACATTCAGGCAGGCACCTAAATGAGGTTTAGAGGCAGCGATTCAAAAGGATCCAGACTGACCCAGCTCCATGGCTGCAATATCGCCCTGGGCCTAGATTCATTTAATGCCTCTATTATGGTCTGGAAATATTTCAAATGTAACTCAGGCAGTACTCCAAGACATAC